GGATAAGCTTAAGGTTTCAAGCAAACACTAAACCCTCTCTGTCTGTCTGTCTCTTCCTCTGCCTGACGTCTGTGGATTGGGGTGCCCCAGCACTGTGCCTGCCTGCTGTCATGCTCTCCACCATGATGGTCGTAGACTAGCTCTCTGAAACTGTAAGCAAGCCCTCAATTAAATGCCTTCTAAGTTGCCTGGGTCCTGGTGACACTTCACAGTAATGGGGCAATAACAAGGACACCTTCCCACACTCATCCTGGGAGCAGTCAGCCAGACATGTTCTTGGTGGCTCTTTGCCTTGAGAACTTTCGGTTGAAAGAAGGATCAGCCTGTGGTTTCTGGCCCTTCTGCCTCTACAAAAGGAAGAAAGGGGAAAGCTGGGTCCATAGGGAGCTAAAAGGGATAAAACAGGGAGAGTCTGGGAAAGGCAAATGGTGAGGAGTTTGGAGCCTCCACAGCATGGATTCTGTGCTCTGCTTCCTGGCACTACCCTTCAGTGTCATGAAGGTAGAGGTGTGTAAATGGAACACATGAGGGGTCCAGGATCCAGGGTTATTTTGCTGTGGCTCACAAAGGTACATACAGTGTAGGAGTTCAGGGCTGCCTTAGCACGAGGTAGGAAGACGTGCAGAGAAGGGGCTATGGGTCTCCTAGTAAATGCCAGGAATCAATGAACAGGAGTGAAAATGATTATGAAAGACCTGAAACGTGAAGATTCAGAATCCTAGGACAAGACCTGACAACAGGGAGGCTCAATGTGAGCTGGCATCAGCAGGCTGGCTCATGCAGGAAATGCCAGCTCCTGCCCTGGTAGACATGAGCTCATTATGGGCCCCAGCTTCCTCCCAGGGCTTGGAGAAGGAGCATCATAAGTTTTATTTCCATTTTAGGGACGCACTTAGCCTAGAAAGAGGATTCTGGGCTAGCACTCCCAAGGGGGAGCAATCCCTCTCAGAACCACAGGTCTTGTGGCTAGGCTCTCTTAGTCCCTCATCTTGAAGCAGGCCTCCTAGGTCACGTAACCCAGATAAACCCAGCTCAAAGTTGCTTTGTTCTGTTCACCCATCTCCAACAGACAGGAACACGCTGAAAAGTGTTGCTCAGACAGACAGCCCCTCATCTCAGAGTAGCCACGCCCTCCTTTGTCCTCTTTCTGAGACATCATGGGTGGACTCTCCAGCTCATTGTTGCCTCCCTGCAGCCAGGGCTGAGCTTGCCTTTGTTTGAGAAATAGGTCATTCTGCTGGGCCCTCTGGGCCACCAGCAGTTGGTGATCATTTGATCAGAGAGATTAATTTGACTTGAAGAAAAATAATTTGCTTGAATGTTCCCACCCAGGACGGGAAGTGTAATGAACAAGGAAGGTCACCTTGAGCTGCATCCCCCCCATGCATCATCACAATCAGCAACAAGGACACATGGCAGAGGGCACATTCTGGTCCCTGGCTCTGCCATTTGATATCCTGGTGGCAGAAAGTCAGACCTGAGCACGGCTTCGGATAACTCTGGCTGCTAATGACAAAACAGTCATATTACCTTCCTGAGTTTTTCAAATTACCTCTAATTAGGCAGTAAGTTTAGATTTATAAAAAATTACACATGCCACAGACTTTTTTATTATTACCATTTTTTTGTTTGTTTGCTTTTGAGGCAGTATCTCATTCTGTACCCCATATTGGCCTCAACACATAGCAATTGTCTTGTCTCAGTGTTCGAGTTCTGGGATCACAGAAATGAGCCACCATGCTTGGCTTACCATCTTACAGTAGTATGGTGTGTCTGGCACAAGGAATGGACCAGTCTTAATGCATGCCAACAAAGCATGGCCAGTTTATTCATGCTTCCATTGCCTTAACCTATTGTATTTTGGTTCCACTATGTCCTATGATATCTGGGGCCTTTTGGGCACCCAAAGAATGGGTCTGTTTTTACCTCCTTGTCAGAAATGTTGCAGGGGGTTACTCAGGGTAGCTATGAGCCAGGACTGGTATTCTGTGGATCTTTGAAGATGGTCAGTCTCTATAGTCATCAGAATGTTTCCTTGGATGCCCCTAAGCAGTGGTAGCTCCTTATTTTGTCCTTGACAGATTGAGGGTTGCTGGTCAGGTCATTTGTCAATGGTGCCTCAGCGGCTATTTGTGTTTTCTCAATCTGGCACTGTAGGCTATTGGGAGGAGACTTCATAGCTCAAGAAAAGTCCTGTGTTACAGGGCCATGTTGTCATCTGCCCATGTTGGTTCCTATTGGCCTGGATCACCCTGTGGGGTGCTCAGCTTCCTCCAGAACAGACAAGATTCTCTTACTCTTACAAGACAGGACTTACTCTCTTACTCTAATCTTAAGCTCATTTGACAATGAGCAGGAAAGTCTCCATGGACAGCCATGCCCAGGAGTGGGGAGTTACAGGTTCCTCTTCTATTGCCAGCCCTTTGAAATAAATGCCTCTGCGTGGGAAGCCTACTTCTACATCCATTTGTTTGGTCCATCGTTTGTTCCTTTGGGTGTTACCTCCTGGAGATGTACTTACATGGAGGCTCATCTATGTGAATCAAATTTTCCCATCTCTGGTTTCCCCAGATCTTTCTGTTGGTGTCTAGGTCCCCTTGATTTTCCCCATCATTTTGTTTCTGAGCAGTTCCTTCTCTATAGGCTTCTACTAGGTTATATTTTCTATCTCCTGTTGCCATGCTAGAAGGGAGTGCTTCTCTCCAGACCCCGAGTCTGGCTACTATGGTGGGGCTGGGAGCAACGCTGGGTACCAGTGCTCAAGGTTACTGAGATGCTGTCCTTAGACTTTCACAGGAGGGAGAGCCTGAGGATAATATATGTATGCATGTGCATCCGTGGATGCTCCCGCATGGAATCATCTGCACCTGTTCTGAACTTCGGCCAGGTCCCCCCGACTTCTGCAGCTCTGATCTCTGTTTCTTGGGTTATCCTGGCCTCATCTTGCCTTGCTCTTTAGCTCACACCCCTCTTGAGTAGCTCAGCCCAACTACCACTGCCCTTTGGGTTTGTTTGTTACCGCCTCATGTGTGTTCAGCGGCTCCAGAATTCCCAGCTTACACTCCGGCGAATAACAACTTGAGCATTACTGCTTTCGGATTTAAATAAGAGAAAAATGATGATAAAATGAAGAAGTGATTCATCTGGGAATTCTGCAGGAAGCTGTCGCAGGGCCGTTCTCTGTACTAGACAGTCTGAATTCCAATAAAGAGAGAAGAAATTGGCAGAGTCTGTGCTTTCCTGTAAAGTTTCCCAAGCAGCCTATGTTTATCTCCGAGACAATGGAGCTGTGGTTGGAGGGTGCAGAGGCGGGAGGGGTGAGTCATGAGAAGTGCCTGGGCACAGGAAAGCTCCAAGGTCATTGCTGTGCGTGAAGTGGCAGCTGGCTCCTCAGTACCCTGGCACTCTTTGCTGTCATTCAGAGCTGGAAGGTGCGGAGCAGTACTTCTTGAGAAAACTCAAACTGGGACATGCCCCCAGTAGGCTCTGATAGTCTGTGGTCCTGACTACGCTGCTCCCCAATCCCTGATCTTCCGGACCACAAGACCTCTTCCTTCTGAGAGCTGCATTTTCAGCCTGTGGTCCTTCCTCCCCACATTTACTTCAAAGTCTGTTTCCTCTTATTTCCCCAAGGTCCCCTTGAAATCAACGTTCTCTCCTGCCCAAATTGGCAGAGACAGAAAGAAAACGTGTTTTTCTTCTGCGATTGAATTGCAGCTTCTTCAGAGGCTGTCCCTCAACCTGTGCCCCTCAACCTGTGTCCGATCGGGTTTCAGTGGGAGCCTGCAAGGATGAAGGTTAAAGGGGATGAAGGTTACACTGTGTGTACTGGGAAGGTCCTCACTGTCAGAGCAGGCTGGGGCTTTCTGGGTCTCACACCCTGAGCTTAGAAGGAAAAAAAGAACTTCTAAAGATCCACATGTACTTTCCTAATGGAATAGTCTAGAAAACTATGAAGAGCCCAGGACTTGCAGCTCCAGGATTCATCCATGTCCCTGAAATTATGAAAAGAGGTAGAAATCAGCTGTCCTACTGAATTCTTAAGTTAAAAGAAGGGAAAGAAGGCCAGGTGTGTACTAAGTTGAATAGGAGCATCACAGTATCCAAACAGGAGGCAGGAGCCTGCGCTGTGTAATGAGAAAGGCCTGTACATAGGAGCACATGTGTGTGCACAGTGTGACAGTAGGAACTGAGTAGGAGCACTGGGTGCACATGTAGGAGCCAGGTACACACACTGTGGGTCAATACACTGCAGCCATGAGAAAGAGTGAGATGGGGAATAAGTAGGAGCCCCTCTCATAGGGTAGATACCTCACCTGCCCAACAGAGGAGGTAGAAAGAGGTCTTCAATCAACAAGAAGGAAATTACAACTCCTAAGGTATGGTGGAAGTGGGGATCAGGGTCATGCCTAATTGGGATGTACCCATTATTCCAGTAACCCTGACGGATATCTCAGGAGTCCAGCAACTTGAAATCTATAAAATTCCCCGGGGAAGCAAGAATGATATTATCCTAGAATCTTTGTACCTGTGGAAGGGTTAGAGCTTCATAGACAACTCTCCTAGGGGCTTCCATGTCATTTCCAGCAGTTGTAAGCAAGAGATTGCTGCTGGTGGGGATGGCCTGAGCAGCAACCTGGGCTCCGTTCTAGCAGTGACTGCTAGGGAGTCAGAACTGAGCATTCTGGCTGCCCTCCTAATTATGTAATGGGATCTGATGTTGCATTCATTCGCAATTCCATACCAACATGAAGTTAGCAGGTCCAGCCCTCTGGTGGTACATTCATGCAGAACTGTCTAGGACCACACACGCCTTTCCGGCATCCCAGACTCAGAACCCTGCACACTGGCAGGTTTCTCTCTGTTGTCATTATGGCCTCTTCCTTCTTTTTCTCCAAAGATGTCCTCTTTGCACTGGAGAACATCTTGCTCAGTGTATCTTGGCCGTAGGCTCATAGAAAGTTATCTTCTCTCTTCATGACATTATTTTTTTTTTGTAGGTGCCACCAATCTGCTGATTGTCTGTGAGACACCTTCTCCCAGGCTACAATAAGACTTTCAACTTGGAGGCTAGGGGCACATCAACACCTGAAATCCAACTGCTTTCTCCAAAGCCCAACACCTCTCCCATCTTGCCCATCCTGTGGCCTGTGCATCAGACAACATGAATTTGATCCACCATAGGTCAGACACCTGTCCTTTGAGTTAAATTCAAGTGGTATGTTATCAGTTTCTGCACCTAACTCTGAAGTCATTGCCCTGGTAGAGCCTCAATTATTTGGTCCGAGCTGAATATTAGGAAGCTGAGGTTATAGTTAATGTGGCCATGGGCCACCTCTCTCTTATCTAGGTTTGGGTGGCTCTTTTGACCATCATCAATGGGAGTAGGTCAGAGGCTGAAGAAGAAAATCTAGAGGACCCAGCTCCAAGAAAAGAACCCTGAGAGAGAGGAAGGAGGTTCAGGTCAAAAGAAGGGACTTGAAAACCTACCACTTGTTTGAGGACAAGATCTGCTCAAAGGAAGCAACCGTGAGGGTAGAGAATGGTGACGATGAAACTCGCTCACTCCAACCTCTATTGTTTGCTGTGCTTGTGAAGACTTTCGTTTCTGCTTGGCTAGGTTCTAGCAACGGATGGGAAGGTACAACCGTGGAAGACCGTTACCCATGGTTCAAGGCTCTTATAGGCATAGAGACCCATAGAATATTTCTGCAAGGAAAGGACTTATTTCAAAGAATTACCACAGATGGCAAAAGGCAGCTCCTTAAGTTCCTTCTTTGACCCATGTCTTCTCATTTCCCCTCCCTAAGGCCTCCTATCTAGGGGTCGGTTCTCTCAGAGGGGCTTCTCGCCCATCAACATATCTGCCCCCATGTCACCTTGGCCAGGAGGCCACACAGACTTGGCTTAACAAGAATCATCAGGGCAAACTGAAAACTGAGGCACTGGCGGTATCTGCAGTCCAGAGAAGTAGCTCTTCTGTGAACTTCAGGCTGGTGATTGGTCAAGGCCAACCCACAGGAGAAAGGGTTACCTACTCAAGCCATGTCTGCTAAAAATGATCACAGTAACATTTATGCCAATGCTTTGTTCAACAAGGGGTCACTGGATTCCAGCCATGGTGACACAAACGCTGACCTCTGTATCCAGTGAAGGCAAGGAAACTGAGTCACACAGCACTGAATGAGGGAATGACAGACATGGACTTACTCTGGCTCCATGTATCTCAGATATGCAGGCTCCAGCCTCCGCGGTTCCCCTTGAAGCTCATCTTTCCTCTGGTGAACCGGTGCTGACTTGTGGCTTTGCACACCATCCTCCTCTTCCCCCACCCTCCCTGCTGTGTTGCAGACAGCTCTCACTATGTTAGCACCCGTACTGAACTTCCATTCCCATGGCTCCCTCCTTCCAGGTGTTTAGGTCAAACACCTCAGATGCCACGTTCAGTTTATCCCTAGGGTTCGGCTTTTCAAGTGTGTCCACATCTGAACCTGTCTAGTCACCTGAGATGCTTAGGTGCTGGACTTCTGTCAGGTGCTATAATGAGTCCCTGAACTGACCCTCAGATTCCACCCAGTCCTGTCTGGAGGGTGTTCTCCATCATTTTCATCAAACCTTTCATGGGTCCTGTTTCTCTCAGTGAGGTCAGCTTCTATACAGAGGATGTGAGGCCCCAGATTCTCTCTCTCTCTCTCTCTCTCTCTCTCTCTCTCTCTCTCCCTCTCTGT